TCTTTAAAATTAATAAGAGTAATAAATCAAAAATCCAAAAAATTACTACTACCTACCAGAGTGTAATTAATCTGATCTTTACCTTTAATATTACTACTATGGTTATTATCACCATCATATTTAGCAAATATTTCATGGACGAAATTCTCAACGTCGATTTTCCAAATTTCATAATCCTCTGGCGACGGGATATACGGTGGTCGTGATACGTTAATCACAAGATCCCAATCTAACCCACTGAAGAAATCGTGTCCCTTGATTCCTTCCACATTAATCCTACGGTTAGGATCTTTCTCCAACAAATTTCTAATTAATCCTCTTAACGACGTCGTTTCACCAACTAAACACGGCGGTTTAGTGAGTATCTTAAAGAACGTCTCTTTCCTATTCGATCCTTTAAACGGCGTCGTTCCGTACAACATCTCGTACAAAACCACTCCAAACGACCACCAATCGACGGCGAAGTCATGGCCACTTCCGGTGATTACCTCCGGCGCAACGTATTCTTCAGTTCCGACGAACGAGTTCGACTTTTCTCCTGAGTCTGATTCCATCTCGGTCGAAACCGATTCGTCCGGTGAGATTCCTGAGTTACAGAGACCGGAGAATAGAAAAAACCGTTCCTTTTTCTTTTCCGTCGCCGTCGACGTCGCCGGAGAAAGTTGTGACGGTGTTCTCGGAGGAAGGTTCGTGGAGAGATCGAAATCAACAAGCATTAAATGACCATTTTCTTGAATCATTACATTGTCTGGTTTCAAATCTCTGTATACGATTCCTTGATTATGCAAATACTCAAGCGCAATCACAAGTTCCGCTGCATAAAATCTGAAGAATTGAAATCAGTAATGGAAAAATAAACAAAAAAAGGATTAAACTTTTTAAAACATAAAAATTGAAACTTTACCTGATGATCTCATCGGAGAACATTCCTTCACTCTGTTTCTTCCTTAAAGAATTAAGATCTCGACCAGGACAGTAATCGATTGCGTAACCGACAACTTTATCTGTCTTTAAAACACCATGGAGACTAGGAAACAGAGGATGGTCGAATCGAGACAAGACTTGTTGCTCGAAACTCACGCGATTGTTCTTCTCGATTGATTCTTTTAGTATGACTTTTAAAGCAAGCCATTTGTTTTCGGATTTGACTAAGAACACAACTCCTTTAGAGCCACGTCCTAACGCTGAGAAAATTTCTAGACCGGTGAAGTTGAGAGTCGGAATCTGGTTCTTCTCCGGTGGTGGTGGGAAGAGATCACTCATCGCCGGGTTTCTTGGAGTTGTTTTTTTTCTTTAATTATCGCTT